CTGGGTACAGTATTCTTGGTTGACAGTAGGCCCAGATGGTTTCACAGGTGAGTTGTACTAAACATTCAGAGCTGAGCTATCACCAATTAGGTGTTCACACTGGATGTAAGGCCAAGGACTCAAGGAAGGGACCAGAGAGAAGACTTAAAGTAGCTTTATTAAGGGGGCTCAGGGCGAGATTCTTTGATCTGGAGATATATAGATCAGGGAAAACTGCACCCAAGGTGGGATGGGGCAGGTTTTTATATCTGGGTTTTCAGGGAAGGAAGGGAGGGACATTCCACTGTGGAACTCCCTTTGTTGACATGTCCAATACATTATTCATCCCCTTGACCTTGGTCTTGGCCTGACAAATTCTACTTAGCATCTTTAAAAAACAAAAAATAGACAAAGAAGAAATACTCACAGAATCATTCTACAAAGCAAGCACAACCTCAGTGCCAAAACCAGGCAAAGATGTCATCAAAAAAAGAAAACTAAAGATCACTCATTAACATAGACACAAAATACCTTAACAAAATCCTGGCTGATAGAATACAATAGTATATTTAGCTGAAACTGAGGAGGACCTGAAGTGCTTGATGAAGAAGGTCAAGGACTATAGCCTTCAATATGGATTGAGGCTCAATATCAAGAAGACAGATTCTCACCACTGGGCCACTTGGCCGCATCAGGATGGATGGTGAAGAGATTGAGATTGTACACAGTTTTAGTTTGCTTGGCTCCACAGTCAACACTCTTGGCACTAGCAGTCCTGAAATTAAAAGAGGCATCATGATGGGAAAGCCTGCTGTTAGGATGGTGTCACTCTGGAGACTAAGGTCCGTCTGATACAGGTCGTGATCTTTGCAATCACTTGTTATGCATCAGAGAGTTGGACAATGACTAGGGAGGACAGAAAGAGAATTGATGCCTTTGAGCTGTGGTGCTGGAGGAGTATTGAGGGTACCATGGACTGCTAAGAAAACAAACAGGTTCACCCTGGAGAGGGTTAAACTGGACAGCTCTTTGGAGGCAAGGATTCTGAAGCTTTGGACATGTTGCAAGGAGGGACCAGTCCTTGGAGAGGGACCAGTCATGCTTGGGAGGGTGGAGGGACAGTGCAGGAGAGGAAGACCCTCTATGAGGTGGATTGATTCAGTGACTGGAGTAATGGGAGTGGGTGTGTCAGAGACAGTAAGACTGCCACAGGATAGAGCAGGGTTTAAGGCTGTTGTACATAGGGTGGGTCGCTATGAGTTGCAGGATTTATAACATCCCAGGTATCCAAGGGTGGTTCAACATAAGAAAAACAATGTAACTCATTGTATAAAGCAGAAGACAAACATGATCCTATCAACTGACAGAGAAAAGGCTTTTGACAAATTTCAACACCACCTTTTGATTAAAACACTCAACAAAATAGAAATAAAAGGGAATTTCCATAACATGGTGAATAGTATACACGTAAAACCGAGTCAACATCATTCTCAATGCAGAGAAACTAAATGCATTCCTCTTGTGAACAAGGCAAAGATGCGCACTATTACTACTTCTTTTCAATATTACACTTGAAGTACTTGCTGAGACAGTAAGACAAGAGAAGGAAGTAAAACACAACCAAATTGGCAAAGAGGTGGTTTTTAGGTCTTTACTCCAGATGTAAGGCCAAAGACTCAAGGGAAAAGGACCAGAGAGAAAGAGAAAGCTAAAGAAGTTTTATTAGGGGGATCCTGGATGGGATTCCTTGGTCTGTGGAGAGAGAGACAGGCAGAGAGACAGATCAGGGAAATACCACACCCTAAGATTAATTAGGGTAGGTTTTTATAGTAAGGGTCTTTAGGGAGGGAAGGGAGTGGCATTCCAATGTGGTTTAGTCAGGTGCATAGTCTTCTAGGGAGGGAAGGAAGAGGCACTCCATGGTAGTTTAGTCAGATGAGTGAGGCTGTTCACTCCCTTTGTTGACATGTTGATATTCCTTGAATCCTTAGTTCTCCCTCTAACCTTGGTCCAAGCCCACTATATGCAAATAATATGAGAGTGTACAGAGAAAATTCCTGAGACTCAACCAAAAAACTTTAGACCTAGAAGGATAGAGTCACAAGATGGAAGATTAATATAAAAAATATCAATTGGGTTTCTCTACAGCAACAAGAAAGCACAGAAAAGGAAATAAGTAAAGCAATACCATTTATAAGAGTCAACCTCAAGATAGAATACTTAGAAATCTAGCTAGAGAGGCAGAAGACTTTTGTAAGGAAAACTACAGAACATTATTAGAAGAAACAATAGCAGACCTAACTAAATGTAAAAATATTCCCTGTTCATTAACAGGAAGACTCAGCATTGTGACAATGGCAATCATACCAAAAACAATGTACATCTTCAATGCAATCCCAATGTGGTTGTTGTGTGCCATCGAGTCATAACCGACCCATAGTTGACCCTCTGGTGGGTATCACACAGGTGGAGACTGCCCATCTTTCCCCCATGGAGCAGCTGCTGCCTTCAAGATTGCAGCACAGCTTCTTAGCATTAGGCCACCAGACCTCCCTGCAATGCTAACACAGCTACCAAGTTCACTCTTCAAGGAGCTAGCATAGGCAATTTCCAGTTTTATTTGGAAAGGAAACACCCAGAAATTGCAAAGCTCTCCTGAAAAAGAAAAATGAAGTGGGAGGCATCACACTCTGATCTCAAAACCTACTACCCAGCCCCAGTAACCGAAACAATATGGTATTGGTACAATGCCAGACACATGTTGTTGTTGTTGTTATGTACCCTCCAGTGGACTCATAGCAACTCATAGCAACCCTATGCACAATAGCTCTGAACCCTGCGCTATCCTGAGCCAATCTCACTGTCTACACCTGTCCTCATTACTCCAGTCAATCCATCTCATCTGGGTCTTCCTTTCCAATGCTCTACCCTTCCAAGTCCTTTTTCAAGGACTGATCCCTCCTGGCTACATGCCCAAAGTATGTGAGACTGGAGTCTCAAAATCCTAGCTTCCAAGGAGCAGCTTGGTTTCACCCTTTTGAGGACAGGCTTTTTGTTTTCTTGTTGTTGTTGCTGTTATGTGCCATTGAACCAACCTGCAATTCATAATGACCCTATGTAGATTAGCTCCGAAGCCTGCCCTGTCCTGAGCCAGTCTCACTGACCCCGACACACCTATCCCCATTGCCCCAGTTACTGTATCAATCCATCTCTTCAGGTTCTTCCTCCCCTGCACTGTTTCTCCACCCTTCCAAGCATGATGTCCTTCTCCAAGGATTGGTCCCTCCTGGCCACATGCCCAAAGTTGTGAGATGGAGCTTCAAAATCCTAGCCTCTAGGGAGAAATTTTATTTCACTGTCTCCAAGACATCTATTTGTTTTCTTGGCAGTCTGCAATATGCTCAAGACTTCTCCAGCACCACAATTCAAAGTCATCAGTAACTCTTGTGTCATTACCCAGCTCTCTGGCGCATAGTAATCCACAATGGAGGAAGAATGTGGCAATTGCCACCTGGCCAGATCATTCCTTGAAGAAACTTGATAATGTGTATCTCCTGATAAGGCGACCAGACAACTGGATCCTGATAAGGCTCTGGGCCTGATCACAAAAGCCCACACCCAAGTTAGTTGACAGAACCCCCCACCCCAAATTCTAAGCAAATTACCATCTCCCTTAGTCCTCCCTAAAAGCCTGTATAAGAAGAAATTCTTTCTCTGTCCAAGGGCCCTTTTGACCTCTGCAGGATCACTTGGCTTCCCTCTCAGACCGCGCTTCTTTATCTTTTTCTATCTAACACACATACTTTGAAGATTCTTCTCCAGCACCTCAACTCAAAGGCATTGATTCTTCATCTATCATCCTTAGTTGCTAATTAAATGAGTTTGAAACCAAAAGTGATTTTTTTTTTCCTGTTGAGAAGCGCAAAAAAGGCAGAGGATACTAAAATTAAGTTGCTGGGAGTGTTTTATGATTGACAAGTAAAGAGACGGAGGAGGAGACAACTTCGTTATGAATTCGATAACTTTATACAGGGAACTCTAGTGCAATCCCCAATCCCTAAGTCACACAGTTCAAGCCTCCCAGCTGCTCTGCGAGGGGGAAGGATGGATAATATCCCCAATGATTAACTGCCTCTGAAAATCCCCCAGAGGGTCAGCTATGGGTTTGTTCCAACTTGATGATACACAACAATACTACCATCATGCAGGTATACTAGTTTCTTTGGAGTTGTACTGCTACCCCAAAGGTGGTGTTGTCTTCCCGGAGGTTCCAGTCAACCAGCAACTCCGCGGAAGGAAGATGGGCCACCTCTTCCTGCGTGATTTATAACCTGAAAACCCGCTGGATGTCGGGTTTTTGTTGTTTTAAGATGTTAATATAATTTTAAAAAAAGAAAATATGTCTTGTTTTGTTAGGAAATTGTTACCCCCAAACCAGCAACCGTTTTGAATTCTGAGGCTTCGCTTTGAACAGACATATGTTTCCAGGACCGCAGAGCCTGGTTGAGAACACGGTGCGTAAGTGAGCTGGAGCTGAAGCTCTGCGCGTGCGCACAGCTCCCAGCCTTTCCGGCTCCGCCAGGGACGCGCGCGCGCGCAGGGGGCGGTCCCGGGAGACTCCTCGGTGGTCGGAGTCTCTGGTCGGGTCAGGTATCCTCGTCACTTGAGCCTGTCAGCCAACCCTTCAGCGCCTGCGCGAGCTGCGGCTTCAGTCACGATGACAGCGATCGCTGGGAGCCCTGGTAAGCGCTCGTGCGCAGGGCCCTGAAGGGCGGAGCGCTGGGCTCGTAACCTCGCCCTTTCCCTGCTGCCTGTCCTCAAGTGGGGCCGCTTACGGAGACCACTCCGCGGTCACCCACAGGACGACTCTCATGTCGGGACCTGGAAGCCAAGGGCCTTCAGCGGCTGGAGGTGGACTCGAGTCCTCTTGTTCCGCGCACTCTCACTACCTGGTTTCCTGGGGTGGGCGCTAGGGGGGCAAATCATTTGGGAAAGTAAAGAATGATTGGAACATTGCCTTCAAGTCTTGGCTGGCATAAATGGAAGGTGCCACTACGTTGTTGTGGTTGTGTGCCGTTGAGTCCAAACCGACCCATAGCTGACGCTCCAGAGGGTTTTCAGAGGCAGTTCGTCAGACGGGACGAGATTGCCCCTCCTTCTCCCGCGGAGCAACTGGTGATCTCGAGGCAGGAACCTTTGGGTTTGCAGCGCAAATGTGGTAATAAATGTCAATCTGTTGTTTGACCCTCAGCCTTGGCACTGTTTTAAGACAATCCAGGGATCTTATATGTGGTGCACCTAGTGAAAGGTCAGATGTTGGAATTCACCAACTACTCCAGGAGATAAACACGGGCCACTCCTCCCATAAGGGTTTATAGTTTGGCACTCAGTGGAAGGTCACTGTGACTTAATGGCAGTGAGTTTGGATTTTTAGATACAATTCTACTTAAAAGACTACAGTATCTTAAACATAAGTAGTCATTAGCCTTTGGAGAGGCATTCTTTTTTACCCTTCTAAATTTTTGCCGCTTGGCACCAGTAGCCAGGAAATCAAAAAACGTATTGCGATGGGAAAGTCTGCGGTTAGGGACCTCTCCAAAATACTCAAGAGCAACAGTGTCTCTCTGGAGACAGGTCCGCCTGATACAGGCCATGGTTTTTGCAATCACTTGTTATGCATCAGAGA